CTATAAATTCGTAAATTCTTGTATTTGTATGTATGTGTGCGTGTGTGTATGCATGCGTGTGCATGTATGTTTGCGTGTCTGTATGTACGCGTATGTGTGTGTGTATGTGTGTATGGGTAAGTTGCATTGTTGTCATATTTTCAGCAGCAATCTTTATAGTGATGATCAGTGATGATCACACTGTTAAACAGCGACAACAACGACGCATTTCATCTCCACCTTATGTGGCCCTGAAAAAGGCCGTTGGGTCAGATATATCTATTGGCATAGACTTGACTAACCTCCGAAATGGTTCATCGTAAGTCCACGGCGTTTCAGAGCATAGCCCACATCCACAGCTGTCACGGTCCTTCTCGCCGGACACAGATGGCCATGGCATCTCGTGTCACGCTCCAAAGGAACACCTTCAGTACTTCCCGAATTTCGTCATATGCACGTCCTGAGATGCGCATCACTCCAGCGCTACGAGCGAGACGACGAATCGCTTGCTTGGTAATTCCTTGCATGCTGTTCCCGAGCACTTCACGATGGCCTTTACTGCCTCATTTCCGAGTCCAAACATGTTCACATTCGCAGGATTGCAGAAAGCAGTCCTATTAGAGACACTAACCGACTAAAGCGGCCTCGGGCCCTCACGCTGCTCCCCTGGTAGATACACACATAGGTGACAATGTTAACTGGCTTTCCTTGAAAAACCCTGAAACAGGAGAATTTTTGGCGAAGCGAAATAAAAATTGCATTATGATAAAACAATGAAGGCAGCCAAATGGTGATTCTGCTGGGAAAAACATGACTTCTTGGAAATTGGCGTCCGAGATCTGAGGGTTTCCGTTCCTTGCCCAATGCAGTCGATCTTCGTATTTCAAATTCATGGTGTTATTCTCTTGATAGGGTGGGACACCTCGGCAGCCGTACCACTCTACTTAGGTGAAACCGGCTTGGAGCGGAAATCGGATAACGACGATAAGCGAAAATATCTAATAGAAGCTTTCAATGATGGTGTTTTAAAGTAAGGATCCGTTCGATTAGACAATGTCGCATAGCGAAAGTAGGAAGCTAGAGCAAGGCCATAAGCAGAAGGAAAAGCTGATGGAAACCCTACGATGAACAACGGTGACTGTTACACTTTTTTGGAACTGGGTTTTTCAGGAAGTTCTTTCTAGATAGTCTTTACAATCTCTCTACTTTATAGTGGCGATCTCTCTCTTTGCACAATTCCAAACCAACGTTTTTTGTTTGCTTGTTGTTGTTGTTTGTTTTTTTGCGGTGCATTCTGAAATAAAATAATTCTTTTTTTCCTATTTTATACTGCTTTTAAGTGCAATATGAATTGGTGAATCCACATGTTTTCCCTTAAGATATGAGTAGACTCGGACTTGTAGCAAAAGGGAAGGGAAGAAACCAATTTGAAAACATTGAAATCATGTTGTAATCTTCTGATGCTCCTTGCTATGCAACGTCATCTTCGGAAGGTAAAGGTTGATTGCGTGAATGACACTACTCAACCGTATCCTACTGGTTTCCGTCTGTGTTTTACAAGACGATCGAAACATAGGAATCTTAACATACCAAACACGCGGCCATTCTCACTCCTTCGCCAATATCGAAAACGCGGAATGATATCTGGTTGAGGCAGTCGACTCTTACGACCCCGTTGTCAGATGTAATTACACGAAGGCTAGCGCGGATTGATCACATCAGTGGATTGTCACTGGCCAAGCTGTCTGTGTGTCTCTCACTCACTCGTTGCTTTCGAGTCAACAACGGAGAGACTTCTTCGAGGACCCGAACAGCCGTTAACTGAATAGTCGGATTAGATACTCTGGCAAACCAGTTCGTTCCTGTCTACTGAGTACAGCGTGAGAACATACCGAATGGAGCTCAACCGGCTCACTCTTGGACTGTGACCATTGGAGGAGAACAGTAATTTTCAGATTGAAAAAGCTCTAGTGATTCTGAAAAGCGGAAGAGAACTCGGAAACAGAGCGTTGGTTTTCCTTCATCTCAATATGGTAGTCCTCCAAATCGGAACTACTTTTCACACGATTTTCAATTTTAAACTGGCCTTCATGCATTTGAATCATACTACAGGGCGAGAATTTATGCTCAGTATTTCATTATAATAGTTGCGATAAACGTAATTCATACATTAAAAGAAAAAATTTCACGGTAGACGCGACTTGCTTTAAATCCTATGATAGTCATCGCCATCATCGTGCATTATGCATTTTATACCTTTCCGCTCCTTAAATGTCTTACAGAATGCTAAATGCGTTCGACTTCACACTCCATCATCTTCGTGTCGTCCAAGTTATATATGCTCGCGAACGAGAGAGGTGGGAGTAAGGCTGCATGACGTTGCTCGTTTCATCAGAAAATCGCGCTAGCAAACAATTATTTTCACGTGGAATATGCAGGTGGTGAGATCATTACTGTGCCGCGATGCCATCTCTTACGCTCAATTTCCGTCTATTAAATGTGCTAGGATAGAACCACATCGTTGATGTTATCTTTGGAAGTCGCATTCGAGCTTTTAGTTCCAGTCTTGCTGCTGTTTCTTCTTCTATAAGGTCTTAATAGGCTTCAAATGTATATTTTTACAAGCTCCATGTGAACGCGATAAATGAATTCAGCCGTGAAGTAGGAAATCATACGATCCTCATACACTCCCGAAAAATGTGAGTTGATCTTAGACCTTTTTAGGATCCTTTTTTAAAATTAGAACACCAAATTTTTTCGTGTAACGCTTTCCTGCAGTTTAAATATTCTTCGCCTTCCTAATATGCTTTCAAATTGTTCTCTAATCTCGTAGTAAGTTTAAGAAGATACTATGAACGAAGCACTCTGTCTGATATTGCTGCATTTTTCACTCTTTATAGAGAACCATGTCCTCCTTGCTGCACAGCATCTCTTTCTTTTTTTTTTCTTACTTTATTAGCTTTACCTTTTAATCACAGGAACAGATTGTTCAATCTATGATTGCTGTCGTAATACATCTAGCAACTAAGAGGAAAGTCAACGGGAACATTATCCATTGTCACACCTTACGTCGGCTTCAGTACTTGCATTTGTTTCGTAGTTTAACAGCTTTTGTCTATAGTGTAGTCGCCCCTGTGTAGTGCTTACGTTACTACTTGATGAGGGTTGGTTAAAAGCTCTAAAGGGTAGCGCTTTCGGGGTCGACCCATCCCTGAGTGATGCGCCATGTATATGACTTCATTAAGCATCGTTTGGAGATGATTGAATGCACATCTGGCCTTTATAATGGCTCACGGTGGCTTACCGATGTATCGAGCCAGTGGTGATATCTCCCCAGACCAGTCTGGTACCAATTTACCGACCCCTGAGGGATGGGCCGTGGACGCACGGATCGATTTCACTTGTGTGTTGCAAGGCGCCTCCAACCACTGCGCCACACGTGCCCTAGTTTACATGGCACATGTAAATGTTTTCATTTCTATGTCAATGTCACACCTTACTTCCCGTTTTACTACTTACCATTTTAAATTGTAATAAAATTGGATGGAAAAGAATACTTGCCTACAATTTCTTTATCATTAAATGACTGGAAAGCAATCCATATTTAATAGGTAAGAAGTTTTGACTTTAGAAAACTTTTATTTAAATGTTTAACTTTAATTCCTATCATTTTCCTCTTTAAGGCAGCGTATTGTGTGCGGTGCGGTTCGAACACGCAACTAAGCTTTCCTGTGTCCCACTTTTTATCCACTGCACCAACCGAAGTTTCAGCTTAATTATGTTCAATGACAATCTGTGCTCTCGAAAACATTCTCAATGACACATGAGTGCTCACAGCACCGCTAGAGTAGAAAAATTGCAGTGGGAATGGCAAACTAAGGACATCAGTTCCTTCGGTGAATAGCACGAGAGCCCTGAAAGAATAACAACGGATTCGAAGTCCACCTGAGACTATGACTTTTGCACATATCTTAGCATCATTGTGACGATAAATCACATAACACTCTGCCATAAAAATTATGGAGTTATTAAAGGTTGAGTAGTTTTTGAAGTCTTCAAGCTCTTGTCAAAGAAGTGCAGCTTTGCTTCAGGGCTAGACAGCACGAGACCACTAGTTGGCTAAAGATGTGCTGAAGTTCATTGCAAAAGAGAAGATTTCGAAGTATGAGAATCCATATGATCATCATTTCAGTAACCTAGCTTCCACACTTTATAAACATGGGGGTTTCCTTTGTCCATACGCCATTTTTCATCAAATAACATTCCTCTCGTTCATGTTTTCTTTTTCTCTTTTATCGAAGTTTCTGTAGCATTTCCTATAGTAACTATTCCTTAAATAGTTTCTATTCTCTATAATATCACATGTTTCCTATACTAACTATTTGCTTATAATATCTTAAATCTATCCATTCATAATGTATAAGTCCTTAGACCATTTCCACATGTACTTCCGGTAGAAGCCTTTGTACAAGCTATTCCATCTCTTTCACACAACCTTTTGATAAGCCCTTGCGTTGTTTTATATAACATTTCTATACGAGCTATTTCCTCGCTATCTGATCAAGTTTTATGTTGACCAAGCCCCTGGCATACCGTCTTATCTGATGTACTTCTCCGCATGTACCGTGTCATGCCTTGAATCAGCACTATCCCTAACTCTCTCTGTAAATCCCACCCATTGCAGATAAAATAGGAGCTCCAGCAGTCTTAGAGACGAGTGTCTGCTTTCCAAGTTACCAGTGCTCCAACTCTAGGGTCCGCCTACCTTCCTTCAAGTGTACTTGTTCCCATTTCAATCTAGCTCGTATTCACCCAGCTTACATGTCAAATATCACACATAATTATTGTATCGTTATTGTCGCTATAAACTGTTATATCCAAACTCGAGGTTGTTCAAGACAGTTACGGAGAAAAGTCCCGCTTGGCGAACTCATACAAAGTCGAGCATTCCACGTACAGTTGGCGGACAAAAGACCAATCTGACCAACTACCTAATCCACTGGCCAACTAACGCATTTCCCATTGGCACTACCACTCCTCTTGTTTTTATGATGCTTACGTGCTCACAACCTAAAGATTTCATGTATATCTTCAAACTTCCTACAAAAAGTCTTTCTCTTATCTCCAACCACGTCCTTTTTTTATAAGCAGATGTTTTCATCCAAGTAAATCTCGTGATTCCCTTCGGAAAAGTTGGCATACGATCTCACGACTTTCAGTTTCAATCACCAGGTGACAAATATTCTTGTTTTGTATGCAACTAGAAAAACGTGCGCAACACCACCAGTTCTACACAACATTAACGTAGATCAACTACGCTTCGTGTGTTTCATCAAACATTATTTGAGATATTAAACAATGTTTTAAATTTTCTTCGTATTTTTGTTGAGCAAACGCGAGGTGTTACTATTCTTTGTTCACGATTAAGCTGACGTTTCGGCGAATTTCGCCTTCTTCAGAGCCTGGAAAGGTCAAGTTGATAGCAACTCACCCGGCCAGACGCCTCCATAACCAAACAAAGAAACTCCAAACCAAGATTTCAATCACTTTGAA